TTCATGAGAAAATTGCAATCTTTTGTTAGATACGTCTTTCTTTATTTCCAGACTGTAAACTACACTGACATATTTTATTTGCGGTAGAAGTATAAATATTACAGCAAATCGTACGCTCTGCTTCTAATCTTAATTAAGCAATCATATGCATATATAACGAGGAACTACACAATTGGCAAGAATATTGGCGAAAGTACAATGGGCGGGAACGAAACCCTTTGTTACGAGATCAGAATTTAGTATACGAATTTCACAAAATAAACGATACTCCAACATGCTCGCACATTTATAAACCAAGCAAGAACTTACAGTCTTCGTTGTGTTATCAAATACCTTTCGGTTTCGTATAAATCATAACCTTGCATCCAGAATAAATTTCGTTTCACTTTTCTATCCGCTGAAGTTAGACTAAGTGTCCTCAAAAAAAAAGAGAGAGAGAGAGAAGGAGAGAAAAATTTTACCCGAACAGCGGTCCCATATGATTGAATCGACCAAAACAGCGACAGCTGTCGTAATTTTACGCTCGAAATCTCTTGCCGGTAACGATAGTACCGAAATGACTGGCATTGTACAAACGTTACAAATCTCATTGTACCAGACCAATTTCCAGATAACGTGTTTATACAATTGAGTAAAAAGCAAACCTGGATCGAACAGCGTGTGTTTTTACAAGGTAAAATTCGAGTATCGAGTGCGGCTCGCGACGAGGGTAATTAATGTCGGAAAATTAAGCCGAAAGGGGTGGGATCGGTTCAACGATCGGAGAACGCGATCATTAGAGGTAAGTGGAATCGAGACGGCTTGCAACGTTTCCCGATTATAACGCTAGAGCATTGACGATTCATCTCGCGGCTGCATCGTTTCGGTGATTGATAGCGATCCTCCCACACGCGCGCGTGTGTATGTGCATGTCTGTGTGTGTACAAACTCGGATCGAACAGCTGAGACAAACGACAACGACCTCGTTCAGTGTCCAGAGAAACGTGCACAAGAGAACTCTCATATTCTAATCAGAAAGCGCTAAACGAGCGTAAAAATAGTTCGTCGTATTTCTCAGATCGGAACATCGGAAATTGAAGTTTCTTACTTTCGTTATATTACCGATTGTTGGTCTACGTCATTTACATGTAAAGTGGATGACTTTTGCGCCAGTTTACTTCACACGTTTATGATTTTTCTTCTCTCTAAACGTACGATCGCGTGGAAATTAAGAGCTGGATTTTTGATAACCAAATATGTATGATATATGTAAAACTTAAAGTAAAGTTTAAAGCTCTGGAGGATAGAAAATCGAGTTGCAAAATTAAACTACTACGTCTTACTTTCGATGATTTATTAAAAGGTGTTTTCTCGAGGATGATAATTATGTGCATTGAATTCTAATTTTTCAGTTGTTTTACGCGGTAAAGGTAGTTGATACTGAAATATATTCATAACGAAATGTTTCAGGATAGGATTTTCTTAAAATGTTCGACACGAAAAGTGTTAAAATTATCAAAATACATCTAGTTTTAGCCTGGCCTTCATACTTCATACTAGTTGTTTAATGAAATGTGGCGTTCAGTCTTTCGTACGAAAAAGGTCATCAGAGGATTGCATGCGTGAAAAGTTTAGCTATACATGACGTGATCGTAAACCTTCGTTGTTCTATGATTTTACTTCTGTCGCGAAGGAACTCGGTGCATAAAATAATTGATTGTCCAATTCTATTAGTACAATTGGAAATTTATGTCGCTAAATTTTACTTGTAGATATAGTTACTATTAGGTTGTCCGAAAAGTTTCCTTCGTTTTATAAGGAAATAATAAACGCACAATATTTTTTGTTTTATATTAGTTTATTGAATTATGCACGAACATAATAATAGAAATATGACGAAATGGATCATACCAAATTCAATAAAATAATATAAAACAGAAATTGTTGTTCATCTATTAACACCTTATGAAACAAAAGAAACTTTTCGGACAACCTAGGACTTTACATTCAGCGATTTTCACAAATTGCAAACAAGCAAGGAATTCGCTAATCCATCTGCATAAATAAGATGCTCCTTCGAACAACGCGGGAGTTAAAGACACCAACGAACCGCGTAGAGTGAAATCCGCGTAGTTGCGGAGGCACTCTTCCTCAAAGATTGAAGCAAGTAGGTACATACTTGCATACATACGCGTATTATATTTCCCCAATGCATGTGCATATATGTGGCATTCAAAATTTACGTTTGTTATGTTCAGTCATTATATTCTTCGCTTCAAGACGATTTGATGCGAACTGTCTTTCTGAAATCATCGCCGTATGCATCAAACAGCATCGACTTCGGACAGTTGACAAATTGTTTGAGAAAGGAAAAGATAAGAATTTATTTTTTTTTTGCGCATGCAATGAGATTATGGCTGTGTACCTCGCAAAGACACGTTGGTCGTTTAATCCTTTTTCCAAATCCCATAACAGTTCATTATGTGCTTGAATTCGATGCTGTTCCTTGTGTGCAAGGACAATCTGCGAGCAATCAGTTCACGCGAACGAATTCACATTTGTTCTTTCTCACGTCTCGTATTCGCCGATAAGGAAAACCGTAACGATATGTTAAATAAATTGATTCGAAATAAATATTGTTATGTCGGTCGACACTCTACCTAGACCAGGTCACACACCGCGGGCAAGATGGGAACCAGATGTCATCCTTACTGCGTACACTCAATAGTTTTAAGGAACCATCGTAAATCTCAGGAATTTGCTAGTTAAGGTCCTTCAGACCGAAAAAATATCGTTTTTCCAAATCATTTTCTGAAGATTATTGTCTACTACGGCTTCAGACGGAAAAGTTAGTTTTTCTCACGTACGATGCTTCCCACTAGCAACTTTCTATCGAGGGCGGCTAAGACCCTTTCTAGTCCACCAACCTTCGTTTATCCAATCAGAAGTAATGTATACTGCCCTCACTTTCCTGACCAAAAATGTAATGAACAAATCCGATGGTCCCGTGCGCTAGACACACCCATCGCTAGTTTTCCTCCGACACAGCATCGGCACTGTAAATTACTTATTCTTCAACGTTAGAATAGTCAACATGTCAGTACCGGGTTAGTCTCCCTTATTGCTACGTCAACTATAGCAAAAAACTCCAAGAGCCTTGCTCTTATTATATATTGTGCCAGTGTATCGCATTTCTATACGCCAAATCATTGTCTACGACGTATATCACAAGCAACGGTGTAATTTAAGTGTTAAAAATATATAGTTTATAACCCTGTTAATCGCAGTGTTATACCCTCTTAACCACCCCTATTATCTCAACGGAAATCAGGGGATCGATCTATTCGCGGCGTCGATTATTATAATCGTAACGGGAATTTACGAATCCTGTTGACGTGTTTCTTCGCGATTGCGTCTCCCCGCGATTGGTCGAAAATACAAATATAAAAAAGAAATGAAATCTGTCAAATAATCGAAACCGCATTGTTCAAGGGAGCACTGTGTACAGTAAAATAAACACATCTAGGATAAATATACAAATTGATGAACGATGGTGCAGCTGGTTCAAACGCATTTACCTTATGCAAACCAGTGTTATTTTGAAACTTCACGCAGTCCAGATCAGATGGTACAATGGGGTCGTTTAAAATTCATGTGTCGCGTTCTTCGCGTAACAACTGCAGGCTTCGATGCAGAAACTGCGGCATTACGATGCAAGAAAAGTAATTTCCCCTCAACCGGCAGATCCACGCAATAATAATTATGCATCTGACCAAGAGAACAATGAGAAAACTCATACAACAAGTATAAAGTTTCGCGAGTATAAAGTTTGTGATATCTTGTAAAATATATCACGAGTGGAAAAAATTCTGTTTTGTAGAGTGAAGTTGCAATGAAGATGAAAGAAAAAAATCTTTCTCGCGTGTAAATTAATCTTCTTCCCCTGAGAGTTTAATAAATTGACCTATTGTTTAATACGTTGAAATTTTCATTCGATGAACAGTCTTAATTTGAAATAGAATTATAGAAGGTATTTTTGATAATAAAGTAACATTCTACTCCTTTTATTTTCTGTTATTTATTTTTTTTATCTAATTTATAATTTATCCAGGAAACCACGTGTCACTGATTCTAAAGTGTAGGTAATATTGCGCGCAAGAACGGACCTTTTGTGTAACGTTAAATAGTGGCGGTTGTTTTGTTTATGTAATTATGTACTTTCGTGGAAGATTTGAATGCAAGATTGTAGATAAGTCTGTGCATCAAAAGCAACAAGTGGCCACATATCACGTACAACGAAATGTCGATAAAATAGCACCCCAAATATATGATTTTGATACAGATCGGAAAAATACTTCAAGTCACTGACTATTAAATAACATTTTTGTTTTTTTATTTTTACATAAAGATTCATCTCCTGTTTCATGCTTTTCATCGCACTACGTATAAACAATAAAGAACTATATAGTTGATCTCTAAAATAAATAGAATCGTAATAAGTAAATAAATAAATATAAAGAAAAAATGTCAAGATACAGTATCTTTTGAAGGATAACAGCAATTCCGACTGTGCTCGAAAGAAGTCGGGGGATCGATTGGCTAGTAAAAATAAACTTGACTTGACAAGTTCGCAAGGGTACACAAAACTTTCCTGACTGAAGTTGTCGAAGACAGGCTTGGTCGTCGTTCGAACCTGGAACAGGAAACCCAACCATCGTAATTCACGACGCGACTGCAATCACCAATACCACACGAGACTTTTCGATACAAAATGAACCTGGTGCGAGCAAATTTTTTTTCGGCATGCAGATTATTCGAAAGGGGAAAAGTTAGTCTAGCTTCGTGAAAGGAAACAATTTTCACGCGTCGATCGACGAAATCGTTTATCATCTACGAATTCTTGATCGATTTTCTATTTTCCACGGATTATTTAATGCAAACGACCGACATTATATCAACAATATAGTCGCTAGATGCGGCATGCAGCAAACACTGCATTAAACTGATTGCTTCGCGAATACGAGCTAATACATTAAACCTAATTTCATTTGACGTATATATCAACAGTACAGAGAGGCATAAATGGCCTCGCTTTTCACGTGATTTTTAATATTCGCTATGCTAGTACGCTAGTTGAAAACTATTAACCCTTGAAATAGTCAGATGGAATGTATGTTACATAATTGATAGGATGAAGTTAATTTAACTCGTCCGATGAGATTAATGGATTATCCTCTTCATTTATCTAAATACGCAGGTATATCAACCTTCTTGATAGATTAATGTAAAAATATATTGATATTATTAACATCTATTTTGAAATTGAAAAATGATCTTCAGATTTAATGACACGAGAAAACATTTCATTTAAAGAAGTTTTATGAAGAACAGATACATGCTACGATATCATAAATACCGAGAAATTCGTTCGTTATGCAGATATCTTTCTAAAAAACATATACAATTAATATTATAATAAACAGTTAATATGTCACAGACGATTCGACGATTTTTCAAGCGCCCATTTCTACCCTAATCGTGGCTGTGCATCAGGTCATAATGAGAACTGAGCTAATATAGAAAATGTTCCATTTAAGATAAACTGACAACCGAGTGTTTTTATTTGAGGAATATCAGACAAAGCGAAAACTTTTGCAAAAGGATTCCACGGCATTTCAACGGCACTTCGTTGATGCGCAGTTTAATCCATTTTTGCTTTTCTTTCTGGATATTAACGGCACTCCGCGGTATTGAATTCCTTTGTCGAGCTTTGTGTTTGTTCTTCTCGGTTATTCAACGATGAGCTTCGCATTTTTCGGAGGACACCGTTAATTTGCGATCTTTTCAATCTTTCTCCCATTTGATAGATACTACCAGTAGATAGTACCGGTTAATGACATGTCCATCATTACTTAGAATACCTTCTGATATTCTTCTAATGTAATTCTTGGCCTTTCTTTTTTTTATTAATTTTTATCTCGTGATTTGTAAAATATCGTAAAAAGAACCTTGGCTATGGAACGTACTAATATTTTAATTTTTTTACAGAAAGTTACTTGATATCGTTCAAGTTTATCGATTCCGATTTAGTAACTTCCGATTATCGTTCAATAGCCGAGAAGATATAGGGACTAATCGATTAGCATGAAACAATAATATCACTTAAAAACTCCCTCTAGATTGCTAACGTGTAATTAGACTCGCTTGCAAGAGCAGCTCGATATCGTTTGACTGTTGTAACAATGCGTTCCTTACGATGCATCCGTGCGTTCCGACCTTTTCTACATAGGCTCACGTATATTTTCACAATGACCCTGGCAAATAGCTACATCGATTTCTTGTCCCATTGAATTTTTACGAATGGACGATTACTTTCCAATGATCCTTTATGCAATTATCTCACCTAATCTATCTATCGATTGATTCAATTATCAATTATCAATTATCTATCGAATACGATTTATAATATAATGATATATAATACAGCAACGTTACACCGTTTGTGCTTGTTTTAAGTATTTGCAAATCGTAGAGAGCCTCCATGTAGGTACTTTGTTGCGCCAGAGTTGATAACTTGGAGTATACAATTCTACTTCGATAACTGCACCACTTATAATTAATTTATCCTATGTTCTAGTTGAATACATGTATTAGGATTAAATGAAAGCCGAAACGAGCAAATACAGAGCGGTATTAGGAAAAAGGAAATAATTAGAGATTAAATCGGTTTCGAATCCTGCTGGTTTAATTCTATAGTTTAAACTCCAATAACTGCCGGCATTAATTTTCTGTTACTCCTACGGGAGCTCTGCTAAAATATTGATTATCGCTAAACCATGCCGAATCATTGTAAACCGAGCGCTAACGGAAAAATTTCTATTAAAAGGGAAACGACCATGTAATTTCATTCTATAAGAATTCTAAAATTGAAACATGATTATATAAGATTATTGGCCTGTATCGATCTCTACGCTCCACAACGACTAACCCGCGTTCCGCTCATAAATTACTCGTTGTATTTTACCGATGGTAAAAGTAGCGCAATAAGAATGGGACCCGATTACTATTGACTAGCCACGAAATCGTCCACGAAATCACACGAACCAGAATAGCATGGATAACGAAAATTGACCTACGAAATTTGATACAGCAAGGCAAACCAAGTCCCCATCCACAACTTTTGGTATATCCCCAACCCCTGGATATGACCCAGGATTCCAGTGATTTCTAGCTGGTACGTGTCGGCTGTGGGTCACGCGCCAACGCTTTCTAAACGCAAGACATATTCCGGTTGCATCTGTATTCGAGGGGAAAAGAGTACACGAACGATATACGAATTGGGTCTTGCAAAGATCCGCATTGCCAACTATAAATCTAGCCGCCAGTGACAGCCTCGGTTCTTGGTTTAATCTTCAAATCTCACGCATCTATATATTATTCGACAACCTCGTGTTTACATATTTTCGGCATCACACCGGAATGGTTACTCGCTACTGATCTGATTCATAGCGTAGCTTGCCCTTTCCATCGTATTGTTTGAATTTCTCTGATTTAGCGAGAAGCTTCACGCTGTACAAATTCATTTTTCTTGTGTTATCGAAGCAGTCCACATTCGGCTACGATACACCGCAGAAGGGATGGTAATCTTGGGATAAATTATTGTGAAATAATTCCTCGATATTTGGTAAGAATGGAAATTTATCGAACCTGAATATTTCTTTAAAAATGTGGCGCTAATATGATATTGTTATACGTTGTGCCATCGCGCAACGATCTGCGCTGATATATTATTTTGATTCGTTAGCCACGAAATCGATTAGCCGACGAGGTGATCCGTGGTTTCATTTTGCGCTAAATAATTTTCAGGCGATGCACGAGGTGGGTGTAACCGAGACAACGGCGCGGTGGTAATGGCAAGGAGGAAAATAAATTCGTGGGGACAGTTGCGGCCCTATGGGTCACACGTTCACAGCCTTCGGATGCGGGATAAGTTACAGGCGCAGTGGTAGAAAATCGGTTTATACAGATCACGTACGGCCTGGAATGAACGGATAAAGTTTTGGGATTCACTTTCCATTCTCAACGGTAAGCCAATTTCTACTATAACAAATATTGTACGTTAGTTAGAGAACGACGAGTTTACCGTTCGAAGAGCAGAGAGTAGTTAGCACTGACGTAAAATTTTCAAGTAGTGTGCAAAGAAGATCGTTATTTGTCATTTTGGATCTCGATTTGTATTCTGCAAAGAATCTCGAAGGAAAAATATACAGGAAAATGTTTCGACTTAATATCCTTAAACGACTTTAAAGCGCGAAAAATTTCACAACAGCTTCCAATTGTCTTTATGCAGAATGGTAAATGGGGGATCCAGAATGGATAGATGGTACTCGTTAAGCAAAAAGAAGTCAGAAAATTAGTACTTCCAAATAAAAATAATCAAACACCCAAGCATCGAACTAATTCAACGTCCGTGAGATTGAAAGAGTAAGTTATGAATTCTTTGCCTCTTTTCCATAATGTATTCTTCTCATAACATTACAAGTTTCCCCGCGGCATTTTCATCTTTTTCTTCAAATTCTGGCTGAGATATTTTGATGAGACAACGATATATTATATGGACCTAGGGTAGTCGGAAAGGAAGAACCAGAAACGCCGTAAGCATACAGAAAATTAGATATCATCCAGCACAGTCGGTTAATTCGACGTATGGCTTGAAACTTTTTGCGGTACGTGACGAGGCATAGCAAGTAGAACTGCGAATGCAGTTCCCCATCGGTGCTGTTGTCGCTATTGCCGGTGCACGTTGCGCATTTCCTACTCGAACAAATCCACTTTGCAACCTCGTTTCTGTGCTGGCGCATCCTTGACACTATGCGTCATCCGTACGTATCCGCCATGGAAATGAGAAACCGATATCAAGAGGAATCTTCTTTGCGACTTCTCGTACTTCGTCTACCATTAACAGGATTCCTTTCATGTGAAATTAGATTCTATTCCCGAGCTACTACTCGCGTTTCTGGCCCGTCTTCTTCTGGCATACGCAATTTCTTTAGCCTATCGTGTTCGATATAGATTGAACATGCTACTTAAACTAGTTTGATTTCGTAGAGCCCCTACGCCTTTAAATTTGGACAAAAATACTTTGCCTGTTGAAATGATTGAGATTAAATGATTGGTGCTTTGATTGCACTTTGATCGTCATGTTATATATAGATCTGAAATTATTTTAGGCAGGCTTTAAGATTTGAAATTCATTGTATGACTAAAGAATTACTCCTGGAAACATTTGGTTTTGATCGTTAAAAAGTTTGGATGCTGAATAGAATATTAATAGTTACTAGCTTCTCGTATCCAGTAGAATCGGTCCATGACTGGTCAGACACAGCTATTCCTCGTTAAACGCTTGGAACGCGATGTTAAATATAAATAGATGGAGTTTAAAAACGTTTCTAAATACTATCCATAATTTTTTACTAATATAATAAAAATTAATAATCTACTATTTATCTATTTTCTGTAATTTACGATTACCTTTTCGTGATATTTTTCCGGTTCCGTTTATTTCCACCAAGTGCTATCTTTTTCTTTCTAAAGTATCTAATCTAAAGTATCTAATCGCTTAAAAGCAATAATTTTCTGCAAAGAAATTTTTCGGATACCTTGAGATTCAATTTCAGTACAGCTGTACATCCCTCTATGTCTGTTTCTTTGACTCTAAAGCCGTCTCATGGAATTCATTCGTAATATGGCTGCTACTTTGACGCGTTTTTCCTCTCTAAAGGGTCCATCTGAGGAATTTATCTTTTCCCATTGGATTGAAAGATCTCGCACACATAATCCTGACAAAGGTCTTAATCCTTACCCGCGTACAAAACCATAAATTCCACAAAAAGGAAAGATATTTGAAGATATCGTAGAATTTCGCTCAACGTCGAGGCCCATCGCATTTTGATACGATTTCAAAAGTTACTGTGATGTTGCTTATTATCAAAGCATAGGTTCGCATTTGAAATCTTACCGAATTTTTTTCAGTAACGCTCTTCTTTCACGGTGTTTTTCCTTGAAACCAACAGGAAGAAGTCTCTTATTCTACAAGTTGAAAACAAGACCATTACGAAGGCGAGATCATCTTTTTTTATGAGCTAGCCAAGTTGGATTGTGAAGATGTATTTTGCGACGTTCTTGTTTCACAAGCTTCTCGCCGCAGTTAAAATAGCGAGAACGTTCTGAGAAAAACGCGGGAAACTTAAGGTGTCTGTGTAGCAGGACATTCATTCGCCTTTGTCGTATTTTCTTTCATGTTCAAGAAAGAACTGCAGAAGACATAATGTCATCAAAGGATTGTATAGAACAGAAGTGTACTGATGCACGACGTTGTAAGAAATAATTAACTCAAATTTTTTATTAGGCGTTTTACTTCTTTTTCTTTTTGTAGATCTTTGAGTAAACGCTACAAATGTACTTTAGCTTCGTATATTAATGGTAAAATCGATTCTTCGGTAGAAATGGAAAAATAGATTTGTCTATTACAATTTACATTAAAAACAATGTATGAAAAATTGACACGGCATAGTTTTCCAAGAAGATTTCTTCGCAGGCATAGTTATAATCGTATTTTTAGTATTACGCATAAATATCCCGATCGCGATCATTCTCAAACGTTTTCAAGGCATTTAGCTAATGTTGTAGTATTTTTCAGAAGCTTTTAAGCGTACCCAAAAGTACCGTTTTTACGAGCGTTTTGAAAATAGATGAGTCTGAATATTAATGCAAAGTGCCCTTAATATTTCAACAAGTGAGTGCACGATGAGACCTGTCTGAAAGACAAGACATTATGCAATAATCTAACATAAGAGGAAGAAAACAAGACAACTTTTACAAAAAGTGAAAATTACAGGTCCGAATTCCAGTGTCTGATCTTCCTATTTTCTAGACTATATGCTTCCGCATAATTATGAAATGATGTACTTACATTAGACCGTTTTTGCTCTTCACTTTTCACAATTAAGCACACTATTATTTGCTAGTAACCACGCCAAGTAGTCCTGTTACCATGGATTTCCATACCATAAATATTTCATTATCCAGAAGTTCAGCCCGAATACATTTAAACTTATACAAAGTGGAGCATAGTTAATTCGTATTCATTGAATATATCGTTACTATAACTTTAATTACAACTTCAATTTGTTCGGTATAATGGAACTGTAATTAGAATACGCAGAGGTATAAATTATTCAAGATTCTTTAGCATATCAGTAACGATATAATCAAGGAATTAAAAATCGTTCATGACACTCGAAGTACAGGTACCTTACCTAAATCAGTACTATATCTTCCACAATTAAACAAATATTATTAGGAAGTAGATTTAGAATAACGATGAATCAATTGCAAGATAAAGGTGGCACTTGTCAACGGATTGCATCATAAAGAAACCTAAATTATTGTACATTACAATATCATCGATCCTAAAATATTGGATTGTCCGGAAAGTTCGTTCCGATTTTTAAGGAATTTGATCGACGCGAAAGATCATATTGAAAATTTGTTCACCGAAAAACCCGAGACGTTCTGGAAGGATGGAGTATTCAAATTGTGTGAAAGATAGAGGAAGGTTGTAAAACAAAATGGTGCCTATATAATTCAATAAATGTGTATCGAATCGAAATGTAAATCGGAAAGAAACATAGTACAGAGATGGTAGTGTATATCTTTCTCTTATGAATGCGCTTTGATCTGTGCATCCAAAACTGCCTTCAATTTCAAAGGTGGTCGGATTAGCAGCGCAATCCATGTTTCTATAAACTACTGCACACCTCTGCTTAATTACGTTAATGAGTAGGAAATTATTATGATTATCTTGTATTTTCTCTAGCGGAAAGCAGCGCGTGCGATCGGTTTGCGAGGTCACATTTAGCTGTGAGGCAAACTCATTGTCAGATAAGCTAACCGACCCTGAGGGAATGTTCTAAAATATATCGCAGACATCGACGGTAACGATGTAAGTTCCTCTTACTTGAGGGCAACTGTTGGTGTGTCGGTAAACGTATACAACCAAAGAAACTAGATAGTCGCTGGTATTGCTGGCGAAGCTTTGAAACTCGGCTAATCTTCGGACTAAGTATTGACCTACCGCAGAAAGGGAACGTTTCTTCGGCAATAAGGGTTTACTGGCATTATGTTGCGTTACAAGCATTGATTAATTGTAATAATTTCAGATTTTATATTCTCGTTAATGAAAATATGCTTATAATTTTTATATAGTTATTTCAATGGAGCTTTTTTCTGGAGACCTTCCATAGTAATCTTTTTGAGTTTCGTTAAACTATTTTTGAATCATATAAAATTCAGATTCGGCGAGATCAGTAGAAAACGGTTAGCGTACAGGGAACTTGTCTAAATATGTTTTGTAGTCCTTATTGTATCTCACGAGATTTTTATATGTACGCGAACAGTTATGTTGCTTTTATTCTCGCTGAATTTCCTTGCACGATTCTTCGAAACTACTTCATCACCTTATCATCATTTTTCCATCGATTCATCCGTATCAGATTCTTACGAAATCCTTCACCGGGATTTACACGAAAATGGATATTTCTTGAATACAATTTACAATCGATTGATCTTAGTAACGCAACGAAGTGAAGAAGGTTAAATTCGAGGAGAATACGTCCCCCGGTATCGAAAGAACGGCGAAAATAATTTCTGGAGCAATTAAAAATGATTGTAGGAATGAACGATGCTTATGGTGTATCCCGCGCCTTTCTTCGCAATCGTTGGGGTATAAAAAAAATTGGAGGTCGAATCTCGGTCGCAATTGTAATGGTCCTATGAAAGAAGGTCATAAGGCGAAAGGAAGAACAAAGGGACACTGCAAAAACGGGAGCCGCTGTCGGACACGGGAAACGATAAACGGCAAAACAGGCGCAGCGAAACAATGCGCAGGGCATATTTAGCTGTGCCGTTGTACATTATTTAGATGCCAGTACGCGCCATTTGTATTCCTGCGCACGCGTGTGCTACGAAAATTCGCGATATTTCCTTTCACCCTGCATCCCCTCGACCAGAAGAAACCGATGCCTCATTTCCATATTGCTGCGATCATGTCCACATTTTCGGAAATGAAAAGTTTCCTGATCGTGGTGGACACCCCTTAAATTTGCCATTCGATCTTCGATCGCGAGGAAAATGGCTCGTTTAACGAAACGAAAGAGATGTTGCTAGAATTACGAGTGTTGAAAATTCATCGGTGAAATTCCTTTTTCGATGATTTATAGAGAAAAGTAGAAGCAAGAAAGCGGTGTTTATTTTCACATTTGAATGGGAAGATTTGAAATAAAAACTTGTGAAGTTTAAGAGCGTCATTTTAGATCTCGAGAATGTCCCTTGTGCGAAGCGATTGAGTTTTAATGATGTATGAGATCTTTCATTCGTGAAGCGTAACAATATATCACAAATATGCCTTTATTAGGCCATTTGCGAGATATTTCTTAATCATTTTATGTAACGTACGATATTTGATAGAATTTTATGTGAAAACGTAATATTTCAAAAATGTTGTCATTGTCTGTTGAATTGTAAATTAACTAGAATTTAAAATTAATTCAAACTGCCTGATACAGAACGAGAAGCTACAAAGAGTTGAACTATGCGTCAAAACTAAATATGTAATAGACACGAATGTCTATCGATATAAACGTCAACGGAATTATTGGTCTTCGGGATTTAATTAAACTTTTACACACTTGTCATTACACCGCGTGAATATTGATGTTCGCGTATCTATACATATGTGATAAATTGCAGTCGAATATATTGTTTATTAATTTGTTCAATTTATTAGTTTGGAAATCCGTGTATAGAATTACCGCAGTATATACTACAGAGTATAGTTTCTCTGTTAATATATTAACCAGATACGTCTAAACTCTAAACTCATCCTCAACTACTCGACGTTTTGATACTTTAGAGAACTATCAACTTGAGAATATCGAAATTGACTGAGAGAGCATGATTCTCGCTTTCGAGAATGATCGATGTGATTAACTTAAAATCCTTCGGATGATCCTTCTCCGGTGGAATATACAATTTCGAACATGAAGTGTATTTCAAAGGCGAATTTATAAATTATATATGGATGATCCGTGAAGTATTTACATGCATACGATCGTAGAAAAATAAATTCCCACGAGGTTATCGATATCGAAAGTTTCAAAGGACAACAGAAATTTACCGTCTAAGTAATTATACGCGTCTCGTAATAATTAGCCCTGAAAATTGATATTTTCCACAAACCTGATATTGCCCACGTTTAAAGATTATAACCATGCACTAGTATTAACAAAATCTACAAAGTAATTACAAGGCACACGCTTGAAATAGAACGACGAATCTGGGCACAATAGACGACACTGTTAATCCGGCTTCTAATTACACATAAAACCAGCAGTTCGCCATGTACTGCCTGAACGGAAATTTCCCCGAAGCTTCTACTAATCATTTCTAATGATACTCGAAACATTGTCCGCATCATACTCCTACAGCTATGGTTTATCGTAAATCATCTTCGCGAGAAATGTTATATCTAAATTAGCGTTACACTAAATTTATGAAAGTATAAAATAAAATAATATTGCTAGTGTTATATTTTAATCGAAGTTAACATCGATGTAACATCCTTTGGCTTTCAGTAATTAATGAAGTCGAGGTTTAATCTTCTCCATATCAAAAATTGCTCTAAAATTAAACGCGATCGAATCATAAAATTAAGGGCTAGAGAAATTTTATTGTTGAAAGTTCAAGAAACAAATAGGCCTCTGATAAAATTGGGAACTTCTATTCGGTATAAGCATTTATATATCGAATTGTAAGGACGTGGAGAAAATTGAATTGGGTAAACTAACAGGACCTTCGTTCAATAATTTACAAGGGTTAACCGTGAAACTGACAGTGAGTCTAGAGTCTAGACGATGATTGATGAGAGCGTAAGTGCATCGTATGTTACATGCGGCCTCCGAGTGCAGCCAATGAACACTTCCGTTTCGTCGATGCATCCTATACACATCCAGGTTGTACACGCGACTAGTCGTAATATCAGTGATTGGTCTTTGTTCGTTTTAATGTCATTCCTTCCGTGTACATGTGCGGTATGTACGTGTTTTACACTGGTGCGTATAAACGTGCAGGAACGGGAGATGCATGCTGGAAAACGTGTATGCAGCGCTGCACGTAGCCCTCGTAGGTAATCACCGATCTGTGTACTTTTTTCCTATATATGTACGTGTGTGTGTGTATGTACACGTTTATCGAAGCCCCGTTTCGTGGCAATACCAGCGCTTCGTTGGCCGGAGAAAAAAGGATGCGATACGTTTCTAATTACGAACCAGGTCGCGTTTGGGTACATTGGTCTCTGGCTGTTGACACGACATTTTAAAAAAGAAATTTTATTTTTTCACATTTTCGCAAACGTGAGATATATTAGCAATTGTGTACCGACAACTGATCGTACTGATCGTACACCTTTAGTTTTCGAATGTATTTTCAAATCTAACAAAAAGAAGATTCCGGAAATACAAGAAAGATTTTAGAATTCGACGATTTTCGATACTGCAATATACATTTTGAAATTAGAGCTCTCGTCAGATCGATATCTAAAAGTGAATGTATGTACACCTTCTTCTTAATTACAAAATTCATGCAGGAAATAATCATAAGGTGTTACCTGTCGAACAAAATACGATAAGGTTGCATGCAAATAGGAATGTTACGAAAACTGATCGTGCTACTCGAAGCAGAAAGCAATGCAAAAAGGACGTTCTGTCTATTGCAACTCACTTAACTCGCACCTTGATAAAACGAGCACACTTTTCGTTTCAGTATAATAGATACTTAGAATTCTGTTGGTACTGTGTGCGGTGTGCGTGTTACGTTAGAGAGAAGGTCTTTTATGCGTTTTGTACAGAGGAACTTTTAAGTTGCTGTTGAAAACTTACAACGTCGATTATTTGCATTAGTGTAAGGCCAAAGCTCAACACGAGGGGCTCGGACTCATTGCCAACCGGACGCTCCAGCACGTTGTATGTATCCAGCAGGTCGCTTAGCAGCCGTTTCTCGTGAGAACCGCCGTTTACCAGCCCTGACCAATTATCATTTTTTCAGTCATCTCTGTACAAGCACGATCTTTAAACCACTTTGAGCCCCGACTAGCCCCGTCGACTCTCGAGCTCTTCCGCGGTCCACGCTCGCATTCTTTCGAGAACACCACATTCTTCCTTTGTTCGAAATTCACCGAGGAAAAGCAATGTTTATAAGACGAAAGGTATTTTTTCTTTTTTCTTTTCTTAAATATTGCAATCGTTATGTAAGAAGGTAGAAACCAATTGAAAGTCTCAGTTGGAATCGAAGATGAAGATTGTCATTAGCGATTGTTGTATCGTCTTGTTTGGAAACGTGTGTCGACTGGAATTTCGTAGATATCCTGCGTACGTGGAACACGGAATGTTAGTCGTGGTTCAAAGTGTACATGTTTAAAATTACGTTGCCCCTTTTATAACAAAAATGTAAGTCTGACAAGAATTATACGCAATATAAAAACATATATAGAAGTTAATTTGAAGCAGCAGTACACGTTTTTGCTAAAAAGGGCACGGGTAAATGTCTCCAGGTATCCGTGAGTCGTTGAATTTCACACGCTTGCATGGGTAAATTTGCAACTGACCTGTGAATAGAAACAAGCATTGATTCCTTCTCTTTAAAACTTCGCTCTAAACGTGTCTCGAACAACTTCGAAGATCACGTCGATTCTGTGTAATCACGATAATGGTCACATGTATCGATATGAAAATCAAACAGAAAATGGTAATTAAAAGAAAAAATTTCTGTATTTTTCCTTGTGTAGAAAAATTAATTGGCTTCGCGATGGTTGCACACGCGATAGGAATAAAGTGCAAGTCCATGTGTCGTGGACATTCAGCCTCGAATCGTTGAATATCAAAAGAAACTAGACAATTTTTACAGAGCTGTTATCGATGACTGGCCCTCGTCCTATCGATGTCGTATCGCTTCGTGTCGACGGAAAGGAACAAAAGAAAAAGGAAAATAACGACGATACAAATTTCTGTCGAGTGTCTTAAAGAACGTTTATCTTCTTTCGATTTATTTTAGGAGTCACCCCACGGTGACGTTTTGCACTACTTTTTCCGAATATACAACTTCGTAATCTCTCTTTCTACCCGGATCTGTCTCTTATTCACCCAGCCTCCTCTGTCCCTTTTCTTCCTTTCTCTATCCCCTCGTACTTGCCAATTTTTGTCTCTGTTTCTCGTTTTCCCTGTTGCTCACAGGACACCATTCGATATCTTGCTCCACGGAATAGTTGGCATTAAAAAGTTGCTGAATCAACTTGTCGCATCAGTATTGCCGATACTGCGCTTCGTTATGAGCGTAGGATTTGAGAATAAGGAAACATCGGAAAGTAAAATAAAACGAGATGCATTTCATTATACTTTATAACCTGGCGTAACAATGTCAACGCAAGAACTAGAATGGTTGAGATGACCAATTTATAGTGGATTCATTTCGGGAATATAAACAGCTTTTTGTAAAATATATAGCTAAAGATTTACATTATTTGTCTTTTCACGTGCCTCCCATTTCAATTTCTTTGATACAAGCTTTAAACATTACTTGCTAGTAGTTCTATCGCTAACCGGTGATATAATCATTAATTCGAACAGAACATCCATCTTCGATTATAACAGCTTTGGCTTCCAAGCCCTTTCCGAAGCAATTCAAATCATGAGAATTCCATTCCCTGAGGGAAAATTCCGTGCATCACCGATACGTCGTTGCATTTGGCACAGTACAAACGTTATCGTTAGCATCCGCGTTCACAATTAGAATGCGGAATGATCGACATTGGAGTAATCGTGTGTGCACGCATGTTTCGCGTCTCGACATGGAACTGTAGATACTCTCTCATTGGAATGCAAAGGCAAAATATGAATTATGAATCCCCTCGACGAGAAAAAATTCGATTCACCGCCGTATGATTGTATCGTACAATACCGGTTATCTTTCTGTTTGACGTTGCAAAGCAAAATATCTGTTTCTTTGATATCGTACGGAAGATACTTAGAATTTAAAGAAATATCTGTGAAGAATAATTTATAAAAGAAATTCTTTAGCTGTTTGCAAAAGAGATTATAAATTCGAAGAACTCGTTTCGTTTAAGAGACAATCGATTAAAGAGTAATGAGAGAAAATAAATAGTAATAAACGTTATTCGTAAACATATATCGTAAATATATGGACTGAAAGGATATGTTCCTTCTTCACGCTCTTTTCATAATAGACCCTTTGACTTTCTTCGTTTCCACCTGCCCAAACAAAATAGGATACAGAAAAGCTAAATAGCGAAACATTTGCTGTTCATTGTTTCGAGAGAACGTACCCGGTAATTGGATTCACGAACGCGAATTGAATACGTAAAGCTAGTTAAAGAGCAGAAGCTTGCTTCTAAGAATTTCACAAAATCGTTCTGCAGGACATGCTGCGACTTTGCAAATCGACGAGAGATGTGTGAAAAGACTATAGAAGAACTTGGTCTTGCTGTGTTATAGATATATTCTCCGCTTTTGTAACTTCTTTTTTGTTCACTTAATGCTTATAGTCGCGAAATGGTCGATTGAGTTTCATAACTTTCAAGACAGGATAACTTATTTTAACAATTTCAGCGATTGTAACGTTTGACTTTAATTTTTCAAGCTATCTTCTATCGTCCTGGATTAATACTTGCATTAAGGTATGATTTAAAGTATAGTTGAAAACTTGTGGTGATCGTCAGCATTTATATTAAAATAAAAAACATAGAATGGATGTAAATGGGATACGAATGATGCCATGGTTTCTGCTTTTCTCTGAGAAAAAAAGAGAGGAAGAAAAAATGCCATTATCGGAATCGAACCATTTTCACGCCGATAATTTTACTGCGGAATAAAGTCCGTTCTCAGTGAATGCACCGTTCCACTGGACGAAACAATAGGGTGCAATCGACCCATTTTCATTAACACGATCATATTTCATAAGACGCATTTCATAAATGCGGCATTAGTAAACAGGAAACAAACGACAGACAAATTTTTTTCTGGATTATATATAGCAGAAAATTGGAATTGATCTTCGAGAATCATTTAACGTATATGTATATCTATGGATTTGCAAAATCATCTGACAAATCTTTTTGAAAGTTTTCCATCTTGATTTAAACATACAATTTTTAATAAATAATTTTGGCAATACGTATCTAATAATTTTCAATCTATGGTGTTCTATGTAAAACAAGTTTCTAGTAATAAAGAAGTGAAATACTTTGCAAATCATCACCCACATAAATAACTAACCATGATTTGGTTGTTCTTTAAACTTCTAGCCTATCCGCAAAGTTTCATTCACCAAGTTGTTCATTAATTATATTACACAAGAAATTGTGCAAAACCCGTATGTTTCGTTAATGTCGTTACCATGTTATTTTTCATTGTTAAACGATGTTTATAAGTTCGATTAATAGAGAGATTGTTCCCTGGGTAAAACCTTAGGAATTCATACGCGAGTTGTTCGCACACTTTCAGATTTATGGTCTCTCGGGATCGAGGAAACCCTTTATCTTGGAGCCGCGCAAAAGATCAGCCAGAGTAACTTTATGAATCAACCGTTGCTCGAGACGAAGAAAGAAATCGCTGATGCGTTCCAGGTGGCAGCGATTTTGAACGATTCTATTGTTAGTCTTCGTGATTTCTTTAGCCCGCGTTCAACGAAGAATTATTTGTAAAGTTTTCCCGAGAAAATGTGAGATTTTAATCGACAGTAAACGGAGGGAAAGATCGGGGCGAAACGCAGTGGAACGATATTTAAGTGGGAACTGGTTTGCTGACGTATAGCACGAACAAGGTCGTGTTATAAATTGTCTAATAATTTTCACGCGAAAGAAAAATCGTACTGCTTTATACACGCGTGTGTACATTTTATTCGATACCTTCTGAGAGCAGCGTGATTTTTTTAACACGCCTGTGAATTCTTGTAGCACGATACAGACTTGCGAGGATTTGAGTTATGACGCCAACAGGAACGTAACGTTCCATATTTTTCGCCGCCGGCATAAATAAAGATCAACTGGGAAAGTTACACTGCTCTAAGCATATCAGGGAAGAGAAATGGATTCGGTGATGTTACACCGTTGGTGATGCACCAGGATTTATGCATCCGTTTTGAGATTACCCTGCATATTTTACTACGGAGAGTTAAGATATTCTCGCGTGCTGGAATTATTGTACGTTGCACCTTTGTATAGAATCGTCATTTATTTAAGCATACACAATTTGGTAATATGAACACGTTGCTAACCGATCGAGTTATACTTTTAGTTGGATATTTCAGAACAATTAATAAATTACCTTGTGTTACGTCGCGTAACACTCTACCTGGCCCAGGCCACACACCGCGGGCAAGATGGCAACCAGATGTTTTCGGATACTCACTGCGTACCCTCAATAGTCTCAAGTATCTTCTATAAATCTCAGGAATTTCCTAGTCGAGGTCCTTCAAACCAAACAAACGTCTGTTTCCGAAGCATTTGTAAAGACCTTTTTCTACTACGGCTTGACAAGGGAAAGTTGGTTTTTCTCACGTATGATGCAACTTTCCTCCCACTAACCACTTTCTCTCGAGGGCGATTAAGACCCTTCGGTTTAATCAATTAACAACGAAGCCTATTTCCCTCACTCTCCTAACTAAAATCGTCACCAATACATCCGATGGCCCCGTGCGCTAGACACACCCATCCTTAGCTTTCCTCCGCCACAGCATCGTCTCCGAACATCACTGATTTTACATTCTTCGAACAGTCAACATCCTTCAACCGGGTTTACACCCGAAGATCAGTCAGTCTCAATCAAGCATCTCGTCAAGCGGTCAGCAATTCGAATACAGTGAGTCGACAAATCCATCAGTGTACGCGATAATCCGACTAGAGACTCAGGTCGCACTCACTCGTAGTCATCTCATAGCAAATATTCATTTTGCATTACACCGAAGTTGTTGGTTTGTGAAAATATATAATAACCTGTTAGCAACAGCGTT